GTGTGTGTGTGTGTGTGTAATATAAGGTATACACATATATGTATTCTATATATATACACACCTGTACACATATATCTTATATTACACACACACATATATATGTGTATATGTATGTATAAGATAAAAATATACAAATATATGTTTGTATACACATATAAATTTGAACTTAATATGCTTTTTGTTCGTGTTACTTCTTGTATTGCTAGAAAAAAATGTTACCCAATATCTGCATGAGCCATAATCACGATTCTTTTTCCAGTTCAAAAGGAAATGGTGCTGCTATTTCAACATTAGGGATGTGTGCGTGTGTGTTTTCATTATTTATGAGTGGACATTATTAAAACATTAAGACAGTATCCCACATTTTTTGTTTGTATAAGGGTATGTTTATACACATGCACATATATAGATATAGACATTTAATACAGGAATGGTGACGACTTGTCTTCAAAATTTATCTTAAATTTTTAAAAGATAATTTTATGAAAAGAATGAGAGTGACTAAGAAATAACCCACCAGGGCTGAGCGGCTGACTTGGCCAAGGGTTGGGGGCTGCACAGGGAAAGCATCTCACTGGTGCACCGCATGTTTTAGTGTCACGGTGCCGGCAGAACTGCAGAAGCTTGATGTCTCTGTCCCAAGATGAGCAGGGATAATCAGCCTCATCCTTGGGCTGGAGCCCAGAGATGCTCAGGAAGGCAGTGTTCACTCAATATGGGCCGATGACTGTTGTCATAGACGAGGAGTTTGGGGTCCCTGCTGGGAACTTCTGGTATCAGGACCATGCCCTTGCCCAGTGTTACTGCTACGTCCAGGGTGGAGCTGGTGATCATCTGCCCACACACTCAGGCACTGCAGATGGCTAAGTCAGCACAGATTGGGCCCTGGGCCCTGGACGTTAGGACAGACAAAGGGTAAAAGGCAGGACAGCAGGACAGCGGGCACAGACACACACACAATCCTTGGTCCTTTTATCCATAGTCCTGATGCCTGGCCCCAGCCACCTGTGTAGTAAATAAGAAGAGTGAAAAGTGGAAAATCCCAGGCCATGGTGGGTACCTCCATACAGCTCTGCATCCTGAGGACCCTCAGCTGGGCCTGAGCTGCCCAAGTCCCTCCTACTACCTCCTGCTACTACCTCACCTCCAGGGTGAGTAGGGACACTTCATGCAAACAAGCCTCCACCCTTGAGCTGTCTAAGCCCCACCATGGGACGTGACTCTTAACTCTGCCTGGAAAGCTGACCCTGGGAGGGTGCAGACTTGGGTGGGGCTGTTATGTGGTCCACAGGAACCTGTGAGGATACAACTGCTGGCTAGTGGGTCAGGGCAGAGAACTGCAGCCCAGAGCCAGGGAGTAGCTTCCAGCTTGGATCCAGAACACAGGCCTCAGTGTCCCCTGCTGCCCAAGGCCCAGATGCACCCATGTATTCTGTCCCTTCCAGTGCCCATTCTGTCCTCTCCATAAAAGGATGGAGCTGGGCAGTGTCCATGCCGCTTAGCACCTGAGTCCCAAGTTTTCACACAGCCCTTCTCCCCCTGCACTCACCTGCCAAGCTCGCTGCGTGAGCTTTATAGGAGAGGCCTGGAGCTCCTCCTCCCTGAGGAGCCTCCCCTAGGGGCAGCAGAGCAAGAAACCCAGAAAGGACAGGGCAGCACCAGCCTCTCCCTCTAAGCCTCCGTCCTCCTGTCAGTCCCTCATTCACATCTATTGCAAAGAAAAAAATAAATTAAGCCCACATTGTAGAGATCTCAGCCCCTTGACAGCTGTGCCTTCATTGTCCACAGCTAAGTGCCTCTCTTCTTTCTCTTCTACACTAGCCCTAGGCCAAGCAAGAGTCAGGCCTTTCAGAATGCTGAGCCCACATTTCCTCAAGTATCAGACTTCCACTGCCACAATCATATCCTGAGGAGCAGACATCTAGATAAAAATGTTATAAGCAAAGATTATGGAAAGTACTTTTGTCGTGGGAATTGAGAGACAGGAGAGACCGATGGGTGAAACAGGAGGATTTTATTGAAGTGGCCACCAGCTCAGTGGATTAACATCCAAAGGCTGAGCCCCGAACAAAAACAGTGCTTCACTTTTATGCATGCAACTGAAGGGGGTTGGCACTGAACTTGCAACGCAGGAAAGTGAGCTCATAGAGGCAGAACAATGGCAGTTTATCAAGTAGTGAGAGCTGTTGCAGCTTAGACAAATCTCATGGACTTCCACACAGATGGGAAAAGAGGAATTTATAGAACTTTTACAACCTTTGCAAAAACATAGTTACTTGACAGAACAAAGAACAAGCCGAGGAAATAGAGGGTGTAAGGTTTATTATTCTCTGTAAGGATTACTGCCGAGTTTAAAATGAGGAAACTGAGGCCTGAATGAGAACAATTAGACGCCAATTTATTCAGCTCCCTGGCGAGGTTCTACAGTCCAGGGAAAGGGGGCCAGAGAAGTCGCGCCTGACTCCTCTCAGGCGTGGGGTTATATAGGGAGGGAAGGCGCTCTGATTGGCTGTGGAGAACAGGACGTGGACGTGGCAAGCTGCTATAGGTAGGTAGGCGGGATTTCAGGTGAGCAGGTTGGACGGGGCAATGTGCTATTGGGTGGGTTTTGGTGGGGCTTCCTTTAAATTTTGGCGGGGTTTTCCAACGGGTGGCTAGGTGCCCAGTGCAGAGTTTACTGTTGAGTGCAGAGGTGAGCGTGGCAAAGCTAGATGCTGAGTGCAGATTCTGGTGACGAAATTTCAGGCGTGGAGACGGATGGGCGTGTCCGAGCTCCCAGAGAGGCAACTGGCCTTACAGAGGGTACTTGTTAAACTTTTTCTTATCTCTGTTCTGGGAGGAAATGGTGTGGTGGGGGACTCTGGAGCCAGTCCCTTGAAGGCTTTGTAGATAGTGCTATCAGAGCTCTGCCTGGGCTCTGCCTATCTCTAGGCCTTGGAGTGAGCCAGCCTGGGAAAGTTGTTTTTCTTTATAGTTTCTGCTTCACTTTCTGAATACCCCTGAAACTACCTATTAAACAATTACCACCCCTCCTCTACCCAGCCCTAGTAATGAGGGGAGAGTGGAGGGATGGTAAGCTGAATGACGCAGGAGAGCCCAGGGTCCAGGACTCCATCACGATGCAGGAGGGAGATGCGCAGAAAGCAGCTCCACAGTGGCTCTTGGGAGATATTGCTTAACCAAATGAAAGCTTCCTGTGTGTATTTTTTTAAAGATGAGGTTTCACCATGTTGATCAGACTGGTCTTGAACTCCCGACCTCAGGTGATCCACCCATCTCGGCCTTCCAAAGTGCTAGGATTACAGGCATGAGCCACCATGCCGAGCCGCTTTCTGTGCTTTTTATCCTTCTAGTCTCCAAAGAACTGAGATGCAGTCCAGCCAAAGAAGCAGAGTGGGGGAAGAATTAAGGTTCATGGGATTAAAGTAGAGAGGGTGAACAGTGGTGGGTTCCAAAGCCCCATTCTAACTGGGAGGTTGATTCTATACCTCAGGATCCAGAAACTCCTTGGGGATGTCTTCTGAGGAGCGAAAGGAAGCAGTTTCCCTAGGGTTTCAGAGCTCAGAGAATGATCCACAAGGCCTGGACAGGGGATATCTACAGGACTGGGAAGATGAGACTCAGATCTCCTGTGTCACATGGGTAGGGACTGTGTTCCCCTGGACGTACCCATCTTGCACATGGAGTGGGGTATCTTAGCCTCTGCAGGCAAATGTTCTATGTGCATTGGGAGGCCATCAAGAAAAGGTTTATTTTCACTGGCCTCTTCAAGATGAGCTAAATTAAGGTATCAGACCCACTGGGAGCACAGTGACAACAGAAACCAAAACTTGTGCAAGTGTTACTAACACTAGGCACAGGACAGTGATGGATTTAATGGAGGAAATGGAGGGCAGATTTTTATGTCACATTCCTGTGGAATGGGAGCTCATGGTAGCATCAGGTTGTATTCAGCTGTGACAGTGATAGTCATCCTGACCCTCAGTCTGAAGCCCAGAGGTGGTCAAGAATGATTGACAAAAGAGAATCAGACTTGGACCCCTGAAGGTCAATCGCTCCAGTCCTGGGTCACAAATTCAGGGTTCCTCTGGAGCCATCAGTGCCAGTTTCCATGGTAACCCTTAATATCTCTGCTGTTCCCTGTTCAGGAGAAGGTGACCACAGGATTTGGGCGTATCAAGAGCTTCACAGAGGGAGTTTCACTCGCTCAGGTTGAGGAGTTTCTGCTGTCTGTTGTCCCACAGATTCCACTGCACTGCCAAGATGGTTGGAAAGCTCCAATGGGGTAGGAAAAGAGAGAACACAAGTCAGTGTTTGTGAACTCAGGGGGTCCTCATGTTCCTGAGTGGAATGAGCTGGAAGGAAGCCACATTCATGAGCCCTGGGAGCCTCCATGCCACCTTCTCACAGCCCACAAAGAGGTTTTCTGGCCCCAGTAGGTTCCCCCATGCCCAAACCCATCCTATTCTGACAATTTGACAGGTAAAAGAATTTGCAAGTGAAGCAGGTGACTTCTAGGCCTGGCATTTCTTCCAGGCCTGTGACCTTCATGATATTTCACACCTGAGTGCCTTGTCCCAGGGCACAGGGAGCATCACACAGCCCTGACTGCAGATACCTTGGTGGGAAGGGAAGGTCATTTTGTTCATCCCTTGAAGAACAGAGTCCATGCGGTAGAGAACTGTCCACCTGCTGACTTGGTGTTTGGGCTCTGAGCAAGATTTGCTCTAGGGAAGGCTCATGTTTTTGTTTTTGTTTTGTTTTCTCTCTCAAGAGACAAGAGTCACAGGGTTTGGTATTAGCATGTGTACATAAGCAGGCAACATCTCAGCGTTATCAGGAGGTTTATGTTTTTGCTTTTGTTTTTACTTTTTCTGAGACTTCAGAAACATTGAATGGGAAATCGAGAGTACAACTGTTTTAAACCAGAGAATGCTTCTGAGTAGATGTTGTACATATGAGGAATGTCTTAAAATTGAAATTTTTCACAGAACAAGGCCCTAAGCAGGCTGAGGTTTTTGTCCCACTTCCTCATCTGCCTGTGTCACTGTGTGAATGCCACTACTCCAGGTCTGACAGTAATAATCAGCCTCATCCTCAGACTGGAGGTTGGAGATTGTGAGGTAGCGGTCAGCCCCAGAGCTGGAGCCTGAGAAGCGATCAGGGATTCCATCCCCTTTGTTGTAGCTTCCACTACCTGTAAGCGTCATCACATACCGAGGGGCCTTCCCTGGCTGCTGCTGATGCCATGCGATGGCATAGCTACTGTGCCCACTGCTCAGAGTGCAGGTGAGCTTGACTGAGGCTCCCAGGGCAGCAGAGGCAGAGGGTGATTGAGTCAGCACAGGCTGGGAGAGAGACCCTAAAAACACAGACACACATTATATTCTGGAGGAAGGACAAGAGATATCACCATTTTTGGTATGAGTTTGGGAGGTGGTGTCAGCGAGCTGGGGGATGAGGATGCTGAGGGTCCTCCTGACCTGTGCAGTGAAGGAGGAGAGTGAGGAGGAGGAGGAGTGTGGTCCAGGCCATGGTGCAGACTCCCCAGAGCGCTGCTGAGGCAGCCAGACTGCAGGTCTCTCTTATCCACCCTGTAGCCCCAGAGGAGAGTGAGGGGCCCTTCATGCAAATGTGCTCCTCTTCCCCTGCCCAACCATATCCCTCCCTAAGCCTATGTGCAGCCTCTGTGGCTGGGTGTTATTTCTGGGTGGCGTGAGCCTGAGCTGAGCCTTGCCTGGGGCTCCCCAGGGACCCAGAGAAGACCCAGCTGGCGACCTCAGTCCTGTGTACAGACCAAACTCAAGTATTTGTTTCCTTGGCTTCCAGCCCCAAAGAGCCCTCACTGGCAGGCCCCACAGCACCCCCTACTGCCCAGGCCAAAGCCGATTGTGTTTGTGATTGGAGGCTAGGGGTCCTGACAGAGGCTCCTGCCCCCACCAGGGACTGACCGTTGCCGATTCCCTGTCCGAGGGCGGAGTGAGAGGCCTTCTCAATGGCAGCCTCCTACCTCATCTCAGCCTTTAGTTTTCTATTTGGGCCGACTTTGTTGGAATAAGACACACAATTCTCCCCATTTTATAAAGAGTCCCTAGGGGAAGGTTGTCTCATATCCAAACTATGCATAAAATAAAAAGTACATTTGCTGAGAACAGGGACAGCTCAGTCACGCACCCACTTCCCCATGAATTCATGAAGCCATGTTTCTCTCTCCCTACTTGACTCTTCAGGAGATCACACATAGGAAGCAGGCTGGTGAGCACTTGGGAGGACCCGTCCTTTAACCTGACTGACTGCTTCCCTGGATGATCTGGTAACATCTGAGAAGAGAAACAGGGAGTAGAAGGAGAAGCTACTTGAGGAGGAGGAAAAGAGAAGCAGTGGCCTCGGGCCGTCTTCTGTAGTAAGAGATTAGAGAGGTTTCAGAAAGAAGAGGGAATGTGAGCGACAACTTTCAAGAAAAGATATGAAAAATGCCCATGGTTTTTCTTCTAGAAAGATTTCGGTGATTGACTGAGGATGTCACAGGAGAGGAGAGAAGTGGAATGTGGAATAAAAGGGAGAGAACAGGAGAACTGAGAAAATAAGTTGTGAGTCAGAGACAGGGAAAAGAGAGGTGAGGAGGGTCCACACTCTGTAAGCCACACCAGTGCGGAGATTGGGCAGGCACCGGTTGGGATGTTGGTTCAAGAGGAGGTTTGAGGTGTGCTTGCTTTCATTTCTCTTCATTTCTTAAAGGAAATAGAGCCCCTCTCAACTTCCCACCTGCTCTCTCTGAACATATCTCTGCCCGGACTTGTGGATAGTTCTTTGATTATAATCCTTTAGTTCCCTCTCAGATAAATTTCTCTTTGGTTTCTGACTGAAAGAGGCTCCCCTTCCTACTTCCCACCATGTTTATGAATTTGGCAATATTAGAACATGTATGTGGATTTCTGGAAGAAGGAACCTTTCAGAAATTCAGAATATCAGGTTGCATTCTAAGCCCATTGATCAGAATCCACATTATCCAAGATACCACACGATCTAGGTACATATTCAAGTCTGAGCAGCTCTGGGCTGACCGAGGAAGGAAGGTGCTGGTGGGTTTGGTGATAGGTGGCTACTCATGCCACAGTCTGTTCTGCTTCCTGCCCATGTGTCCAGCAAACTCACATTGTTGTTCATGATGCTCCAGGCAGCTGCATTTATGACTTCCCAGTGAACACACCTGCGCCTCCTCCTGCACCCTCACATCCACAGAGATGACCAGAAGTGTTTTGTGAATAACAAGACGATCTTTCCAGCTTCACGTCTTAATAGTAGTGAACAAGTGGATTATGTAAGAGCTACAGTTTTGCTCTAGATGTCATAGTGCTAATAATATTAAGCAGTCCTCATATACTTACGGATCTTTAAGACAGGGAATTTCTTACCTTAACCTTAAATTACAGGCATAGTTATAAGGTTAGAAATATGAGCACAGGTATGATTATACTCATGGAAAAACTGATTGCCAAGAAGAAAGAAGTACAATTAACTTCAAAAATATTGTGTCATTGATTTTGTTTGGTGTATCAGTTTTCTGGAATTGCTGGCACAATGCATCACACATAGGCGGACTTAAGACAACACAAATGCATTGTCTCAGAGTTCTGGAGACCAGCCTCATACTCCTGAAGGGAGATCCTTCCCTCCCTCTTCGTGGCTGCTGGTGGTTTGCCAGCAATCTTTAGTGTTCCTTTTCTTGCCTGAATCCTTAATCTCTGCCTTCGTCTTCACATGGCATTCTCTCTATGTCTTCCAATCTCCTCACTACTATCGTCTTATAAGTACACCAGGCACATTGGATCAGGAGGCCACCTGACTCTAAGATGGCTTCACCCGAATTACACATGCAATAAGACTATTTCTAAAATGTCACATTTAGAAGTACTGGGAGTTAGGCCTTCAATGTATTTTCCTAGGTGGATATTTTTTACACGACATTAGAGAAGAGAGTCCCCCCTAAAAATCTGATACTTTTTAATACTTAAAGGAGCCAAGAAATACACTTGTAAATTAGAATATAAAATAAACTTTATTAATATACAAAAGTGAGTTTTCTCTTTTTGGTTTTAATTGGTAAAAACAACAACAACAAAATCCTTGGAGATGCTGCTTTCTGAATGAAATGTGTTTGACCCTAGTCTTTAGACTTGATCCAACTATTAGTTTGATTTTTGAAACATAAAGTAAATCAGTTCTTCTTTTTAGGGAACCTGCATCTCCCAAATCACTCGCAAATATTTTCCACTTTAAAATTCAAACAGTTGTAGGAATCAGTTTACACCATTTCACCCACCTTTCTCTCTACGAATAGTTAACATTTAGGTGTCCCTGAGAGCGTGGGTGTCCGATCATGTGATCCTGATCTCCCATGTTCATGTTTGTACCCAGGATCAGCCAAAAGCTCCCTCATGTCCTGTTTTCCCATCTGGGTCCCGCACTGTGCTAAGGACCACTGTGGTGTAGCCTACAGTAGCACTCAGCCTCTTCCTCCGGCTGGGCCTCTGAGGGCTCAGGGCAGCTTTCCTTCCAGGAGGGAAGAAGGATGTATCCATTCCAATCCATTTCTTTCTTATCCTCACTGGCACTGAGTACTGGCATTATTTTTCTAACTGTTCCAATATGTGTAAACTGACATCTCATCGAATTCTTACTTTGTATTTCCCTAATGGTGAGTGAGGTTGAGCATCTCTTTGTGAGTTTGCCATTTGTATATTTTATTCATGGAATATCTGTTCATGTCTTTTAGCCATTTTCTAATTGAATTTCATGTTTTATTATTGTTGAGTTTTTAAGACTCCTTTTAAAAGAATTTTATTTCAATTCTTTTCAGAGATAATTTTGAGGAAAAAAAAGTTGAATTGCTATAAACAATTAGTAAATTTTTTTCTAAAAGTTTCTCTCTCTCTCTCTCTCTCTCTCTCTCTCTCTCTCCAGCTTTCATTTTAGGCTTGGGGACAGATGTGTGGGTTTGTTATATGAGTAAATTGCATGTCACATATATTTTAAGTATGAATATATTGTCAAATATATGATTTTAGAATATTTTCTCCCAGTTCAAATCTAGTCACTTTTTGGTTTTATCAGACTATTTCACAGAACAAAAATTTTATTTTTGGTGACATGCTCCTCCTATCTTTTTCCTTTTATGGATTGTATCCTTGGTACAATCTTGTCTAAGGATGTTTAAATATTTTCTAGAGTCTGATGATTTTATGCAATGTTATTCTCTAACAGTTGTTTTATATTTATGTATAGAATTCATTTAAGTCAATTTTTGTTAAAGATGAGAGTTAAAATTTGTGAGTTTATTTTCCCCTTTTGAAGGATTTTACATTTTCATTTTGCCTTGCTTACTGCTATAATAAATACATCTAGATCATTATTTTCATGCTGATCTTGTGTCCTGTGACCTCAATAAAATCACTTGTGTTGCAATTCTATGTAGACAATCCCATTGTCTGAAAATAGGGGCAGTTTTATTATGATTCTTGTGGTATTTATGTCTTTTTAAAATTATTTGTACTTGTCTGGCTGTATCTTGCAGTCCTATGTGGAACTGCAGTGATGAGATGGGACATGCTTGCCTTGTTCCCTCCTTAGGGGAAATGCCATCCATAGTTCACTTTCATGTTTTTTTTTTGTTACAAGTGTTTATAGTTTATTTATCATGTTGAGGAGGTACCTCTCCATCTCTGCTACTTTTTATCCTAATTGAGTGTTGAATTTCATGAAATGCCTTTTCTGGATTGATTGATAATATCCTGTGTTCTGCTTTAGCCTGGAAAGGCAGTGAATTTCATTGATTAAAATTCACACACTGAGCTATCTTTACGTCCCTGCAATAAACTCTGTTGGTTCACGGTGTGCATGTTTTTTTGTATGACACAAAGTCCATTTGGTAATATTTTCTTAATAGTGTGTGTGTTTCTGAGCAACCTTTGGTTTCTTTGTTTCTTTATTTTTCTACCAGGAAACTGCATCAAGAGTATACTGATTGATCTGTAAAAAGAATGTTTTCTTAATCATATTAAGTGTTTAAATTACAAACTAAGAGTGCATGTTGATTTAATTTTTCTTCATTTCCTTTTCAATATTCTGCACTTTTTACTGTAGGAGACTTTCAATTTTCTCGGATTTATTTTCACAGATCATATTTATGCTGTTGTTATTGTTTTTGTTTAATGATGTTTGATAGTTTATTGCTAGTATGTAGAATATAATTTATTTCTACATGTTGATAACATATAGCAGAATCCATGTTGAACCACTTACACTGGAAGCATCTCTGAGTCACTCCTAGACTCTGAGCAAGGCATGGCTGGAATAAACCTCTTTCTGTCTCCTTCAATGTCTCCATTAATAATTTTTTTTTAAGACAGATTCTTGCTCTGTCATCCAGGTTGGAATGCAGTGGTGTGATCTCGGCTAACTGAAGCCTCCTCCTGGTTTCAAGGGATTTTCCTGCCTCGGCCTCCTGCATAGCTGAGATTACAGTCATGTGCCACTATGCCAGGATAATTATATATAGAGAGAGACAGGGCTTTACCATGTTGCACAGGCC